GGGCGCGCCTGCCGGGCTGGTCTTCGCTGCGCCCCTCGGCACTGCTGCTGCTCCCGCCCCTGCGCGGCCCACCCCGTTTTCCCGTCGCCGGATCGTCGGAGGCGGGGCCGCGCGGGAGCGCCTGCCGTTTGGTATGATAGGCGGGAGCGCGCTCCGATCCCAACACCAAGTGGTGCCGCAGCTGCTGCTTGTGTTGCGGGAGGGAGGGCGGGAGTCGGCGGGGCCCCCTGACTCGCTCGACCTGGCTCGCTTGACAGGTGTACCTGCGGGCGTACCCTGCCCGACGACGCCCCCGGAAGCACAGAGCAAGACCCAGACCTCCAACACGTTCGGAACAATTCTAGACGGGCGTCTGTCGCCGTTTCCGGTCTCGGGGGAGGGGGGGGGAGGGCCTCGCTGGGCCCCGCGGGGCCGTCAAATCAGCACGAGGAGGAGGAGGAGGAGGAGGAGGAGGAGGAGGAGGAGGAGGAGGAGGAGGAGGATGAGGAGGAGGAGGAGGAGGGGGAGGAGGAGGAGAAGGAGGAGGAGAAAAAGGAGGAGGAGGAGGAGGAGAAGGAGGAGGGAGGAGGAGGGGGAGGGGGCGGAGGGGGGCTGAGGATCTCGTCTCTCCACAGGCTGCCCGACCAGTGCCCTGTCCCATCAGCCCGGACGTCCTAGCACCGCCTTCCCTGACCCCAGAGCCGCCGTACCTTGGGCGATGTCGCAAGTAGGGCGGAGATGTCCGTCCTACTTTCCAAGCTCCTCTGACTCCGATTTCCGCTCTGCTCTGCCGTCGCTGCTTCCAGCATACGTTTTGCGGACACATCTGCCCTACTTTTCTGAGGCGGAGATTACCCACCATACCTTTTCGCATTGTTTGGGGTGCAGTCCTGACACCACCCAGAGTCAGGAAATCAAGCAAAGTACGGCGGATCCAGAGGCAGGGTCGGGGACGCACGAGCTGCGGCCGAACCAGACCCTGCGAGTAGTTAGTCACACGCACCAGCCGCGGCAAGGCCTGCCAAGGTCCTGCTCCCCCTGCGCGCGCGCCCGAGGGAACCCCAGCCCAGCACCCCCCGACCACACGCGAGCGGGGGAGGCATACCCCTCACGGCCAAGCACGCTTGCCTAGCACGTCGCGGCAGCGGTGGCCCCTGCGACACGCTGTGCCCCACAAGCAGATCGCAGATAGCGTGTCGCTCCGCTCCGCGGGGCGGGAGGCTGGGACAGGCGTGGGGCGTTGACGCTTGGGGACTGGGACGTGGTTAGCGCGTCGCGCCGAAGCATGTCTGGCCAGGAACGGCGACACGACATATCAAGCTCTATGCCAACGTTCCTGACCGTCCACCCCCACTGGGGCAACACATCGCGTCAACCGTCTCTCGAGATCTGGGGAGGGGCACCGAGGTCGATGGGAGCCCCCTCAGTGAACCCATCGGATCTGCGCCCTCTCGAGAGGGGTAACCGAGCCGATGCACCCCCGCGGGGGAGAGAACCACGCTTCTCCCGAAGGGTAGGGGGAACAGAAAGACACCGATACCGATACCGAAACGTTTTCTGGCGAGCGTTCGGACCAAGATTTTGAACCGGATCCAGCCGTGGCGACGAGGGACAGGCGGCGGTACCCGCATACTCTCCTCTGGCGACGGTCCCGACCAGAATCTCGAGGCGAATCTGGCCGTGGCGACGAGAGACGGGCAGTGACACCGGCATCCTCTCCTACCCAGACGCCCCAGACATCCGGCGAGATGGTTTTTCAATCCGCGGCCTCAGAGAGGCCCAGACCCCTACTACGGGGGCAGTTTTGCGCCCGTTTCTGATGGCCTCGGGACCCATAACGGGCCCATGGATGTGAAAATCGACAAAAACACCCGGCCTGAATGAACCCAGCGCGATCAAAATTGGAAAAGCGGGTTGTTGTCTTCCCCCCCACTTCCCATATTTCCCCACTTTTCCCAGGGAGTCGACGATTAATTGTGTCCGTGTGTTTTTTCCCTCCTGAGACACGTGGTGTGCCAGAATCGGCGGCGCGACACGCTATCCAAAAGCGACGCCCTGGTGGCTTTCCGGCCCCGACTCGGCTCTCTGGCCGCCGCTCGGGGCGACCCAGGCACCCCCGGCACGCCCTCGGCGAGGCGCAGCTGATGGAGAGCGCTCCGAGGCTGGAAAGCCGCCGAGAACCAACGGTCACGTCCGAAAACCTCGAGCCTCGAACCTCGAACCTCGAGCCTCGAACCTCGAACCTCGAACGCTATCCGAAAGGTCCCGACCCTACGTGTGGCCACTCCGCGCCAGGGCCCGGCTGCTCCAATAGGGGAACGAAAAATGGCATAAACATAAAAACTCGGAGGTCCGCGCGGATTTCTCGGATCGGCGCTGGACCCCCCTCCCTGGCGCGCGGAGCGCGCCAGCGGCGGCGCTGGAGGCGCCGCCTGGGGGGCCCAGCGCGGATCCCAGGAATCCAGCGCGGAGCGCCAAAAGTTTATGTTATGCCGTTTTTTCTTCTTCGAGAATGGCGTGT